CTGAATGCCAGCTGCTGGTAATAGTCTCCAAAAGATGTCATTGAGGTGTCTCCGTCTTCAATGCAAGGCTTCATCAGCCTCTGAAAGCTGCTTTAGGCGTGGCCTGAGGAGCCTTGTGATCAGCCATGGTTGCAGAGAAGTGCTTCTCTTTCTCTATTTCCAGGTGCAAAGAGGGAGATGGAATAAGTGGTTCATGAATCCCCCTGCTGCGCCGCACTTCAAGTATTTCATTTTCATACAATCTCTGTGAGAATAAACAAGTCATCTTTTCTGTCAAAGAACAGCCGCCATTTGGGACTGTATGACTTGGTAGCTGCCACGTTGGACGCATGGCTTCTAGTTTTACTTTTCACACTTAGGTTTATACTCCCTCTGCAACTGACTTTTGTATGTAGTATTAGCTTGAGAATCAAGGTTCTTTATTTTTATTCCTATATGGACATCCTATTATTGGTGACTCAGCACCAATTATTGAAAACTTCATCTTTTTCCTACTGTATTGCAGTGGCAATTTTGTTATAAATAAAGTTACCACAAGTATCCAAATAAATTTTATCTCCTCCTTTCCAATTATTCTATTCTTTTTTCTGTTCCATTGGCCTATTTGTTTATCTTCATACTTAACCATTCTGTTTTAAGTACTGTAGCTTTATAAGTTGTCTTATATCTGAAAGTATAAGATATAACTTCATTATTCTTTCAGATTGTCGTCTAAGATATTCTTGGGTCTTTGCATTTCTATATAAACCTTAGAATCAGCTTGACAATGTCCACAAAATAAATTTCCAGGAAGAGTGATTGGAATTGCATTGAGTTACTATCTTTATAATATTGAGTCTTGTAAATCTTAAGCCTTATTTCGGTTTTTTTATTTTATTTTAAAATATATTTTATTGATTTTTTACAGAGAGGAAGGGAGAGAGTTAGAAGCATAGGTGAGAGAGAAACATCAATCATCTGCCTCCTGCACACCCTCTACTGGGGATATGCCTGTAACCAAGGTACATGCCCTTGACCAGAATCATACCTGGGACCCTTGAGTCTGCAGGCCTACGCTCTATCCATTGAGCCAAACTGTTAGGGCTTATTTCCATCTTTTAAACTTTCTTTAATCAATGTCTTATAGTTTTCAGTTGAATGATCTTGCCCATCTTTTAACTATTTAGTGTTTTATTATGTTTTTAAAAATACATATTTTATTGATTTTTTACAGAGAGGAAGAGAGAGGGGTAGAGAGTCAGAAAGATCGATGAGAGAGAATCATCGATCAGCAGCCTCTTGCACAGCCCCTACTGGGGATGTGCCTGCAACCAAGATACATGCCCTTGACTGGAATTGAACCCTGAAAGGTCTACTTTCAGTCCGCACTCTGACGCTCTATCCACTGAGCCAAACCGGTTTCGGCTATTTAGTGTTTTCTTATGTTAATGGTATAATTTTAAAACTTTTCATCTTTTCTGGGCCAGCATGGTTCAGTGGTTGAGCATCAACTTATGAAACAGGAGGTCACAGTTCGATTACTGGTCAGGGCATGTATCTGGTTTGTGGGCTCAGTCCCCAGTGTGGGGCATGCAAAGAGGCAGCCAATCAATGACTCTCTCATTACTGATATTTTTTTCTCTCCTTCTCTGTTCCTATAAAGAAAAACAAACAAACAAAAAATATTTTTGCTTATTGCAATGTTTAGAAATACAATTTTCTGTATTGACTGGGATCAAACCTGGAACCCTTCAGTCCTCAGGCCAATGCTCTGTCCACTGAGCCAAACCAGCTAGGACTTAATGGTATCTGTTGATAAACAGAAGTTGCTAATTTTCATGAAGTCAAATTTGCCTTGTTAGTAGTGTTAGCCTCAGTTCCCCAGAAACCAGAACCTCATTTTATTATTAGCGAGTCCAGGAAGCAGGTGAGAGTGACAAGGAGACTAAAGCAGGAAAGAAAGGAGAAACAACAGGATGTTTCATCATCCTGGCTGCCATTACATTAAACTGATTGCTGGACGTGGGGACCGTCTCATCAATAAACAAACTTCATCTCAAGACCATCCTGAGAGAAGTGAGACAAAGGGAGAAGTGGGGGCAAATTATATTGGCTTCTGTTTCCCATTGATCAAGATTTCACTCCACAGGGCATTATCTCCTTCACACTTCCAGTTGCACATATTAGTTTATATCTTAAAGAAAAATAAACAAAACCCTTACTGTCATTTTAATGGAGTTTATAGACTTAGTAGTGATAAGTGCATGGATTAAATCTACCATCTTTAACATAAATTATATTTTCTAGCTTGTTATTAGTGGTGTACAGAAACATGGATGCTACCAGGGAATTGCCATTCCAGCTGCTGAGTAGGGAATGCCTATGCTCAGTTCTCATCTAAAGATTGTCAACATTTTTGTCCACCCACCCACTTGACAAAGTGCTCCCCATAAAGGTATAGCCCCAAGCGGAAGTTTGGCAATAGTTTTGTTCAACTCCCATGTAGTGGCTGGGGCGTCCTTGGCTTCAAGCTGAAAACCTGCTCAGGTCCTCCACCTACTGGAAGGCACTTCCATCTCTTTCAACAGGAGCCAAATCTCTGACAGCTATCTTTGCTTCGAGACCTCTTTCAAAGCTCAGGATGCCTGTGGCTTCAGTATAGTCACAGGGAGTTTATCTCTACTTTCTCTTATTAGGTTTTATGTGTCATTGCTATATGTCTGCTACTGTGTGTGTGTGTGTGTGCGCGTGCGCGCGCGCACACCTTGGAAAGTCTTAGCCCATTTTCATCATTTTTATTACAAGTCTAGTAAGAGTTTCTTGAACTGATGACAGACAATAGTTGTGACAGGATAGTAATTGGATTCTCCCGGTTATCTTGGGCATTTCAGCAAAGGCTTCAAATGCAGAAAGCAAGACAACAAATGCCAAGTAGCCCTTTCCCTCATCTACCTCAAAGAGAGTTGGGAAGAGATTATAGATCAGTCTGCCAGCATTACTGGTCATCCACAGTGAGTCTATGTAAGAGCGAGGATTGTGTTGGAGAGTTACCGTGGGCTAGGAAGAAAGAAGGAGGCATTCCCTTGGCCTAAAGCCAAGTGAGATAGAGGCTTCCACTAGCGCCTCTCAGAGTGTTTGGCTTACGTATCCTGGGGCTAGGAGATCTGTAGGACTGATGTCCTAATTCCACCTGAGGAAGTCCAAAAAGCAAGATATTGGCTGACTATCCAGCCAGGGTGGTGAGTAAGGTGGGCAGCATGAAGAATAAGCTGCACTGCCCTTGCCAGCAGGGCAAAGATGCATGTGTTGTCCTGTGGGTCAAGTATAAATAGAAGGAAAGTGATGTGGAGTAATTTAAAAAGGATCCTTCCAGGAGGCGTGCCCAGAGAAGAAAGGGCCCCAGGAGGCTGAACTTTATACATGGGATGAATCTCTAGAACAGTGGTTCTCAACCTTTCTGATGGTACGACCCTTTAATATAGTTCCTCATGTTATGGTGACCCCCAACCATAAAATCATTTTTGTTGCTACTTCATCACTGTAATTTTGCTACTGATATGAATTGTAATGTAAATATCTGTGTTTTCTGATTGACTTAGGCGACCCTGCTAATGGTTCTCAACCTGTGAGTCGAGACTGAGATTTGAGGGACCGAATGGTCTTAAGTTCGATTCCAGTCAAGGACAAAAACCTCAGTTGCAGGCTTGATGGAGATACCATCAATGTATCTCTCTCTCTCTGTCTCTCCCCCTCACTTCCACTCTCTAAAAATCAATGGAAAAACATATCCTTGGGTGAGGATTAGCAAAAAAATAAATTAGTTAATAAAAGAAGTGGAGAGGGGAAGTCACAGGTGTTCTCTTTTGTCTTAAGGGTTTTTATCTGTTTTCCAAAGGCTGAAAAGGGATGGTCTCCAGGGAAGATCTCAATAGAACATTCATTAGTTTTCCAGGTGTGTTCTTTAATATGCTCCTGTATCAAAATTAGCATATAAAAGGCCATTCTCTGGTCAGTTTCACCTACAAAGAAGGTCACCTAAGAGGGACTGGGACTGAGGCAGTTCTGCCCCAGCAGTCTAGTATGTGTAAGATAAGACCTTGCAATTTATTTTCTGGCTATAAATTGCTCAGCCAGTTTGTTCAGCTATCTGTCCTGGTTTCCCCATTCCACTTGTCAAGGAATTTTCCTAGATGCTGCTGCTGCTGCTTCTTCTTCTTCTTCTTCTTCTTCTTCTTCTTCTTCTTTAAATATCTTTAATTCAGAGAGGAAAGGAGAAGGAGAGAGAGATAGAAACAGCAAAGATGAGAGAGAATCATTGATTGGCTGCCTCTTGCACGCCCCATACTGGGGATCAAGCCCACAACCTGGGCATGTGCCCTTGATTGGAATTGAAGCCTGGACTCTTCAGTCCCTGCGCTGAAGCTCTATCCACAGAGCCAAAACAGCCAGGGCTTTCCTAGCTTCTTCCAATCCTGCCTCGGATTTAGGATGGTGAGTGATCTCCCCATGACCATAAGTTCTGATTAGAGGCTGAAAATGTACTCTGATGTCCGGTCTGTGTTGCGTTCTCGCTCCCATTCCTCACTTTTTCATCCTCTAGAAATCAGGCAAACTAGAAGGTAAACTGATGGTCGTCGCTGGAGGTATACCTCTGACACACCTAATGTTTGGGAACTTCTTTATATTCCGATCCCTTGTAACCATTTATTGTTCCCACATACACATATAGTAATAGGGTTGGGGGACAGAAGTAGAGCGGAAAGTGCTCCCCGAAACCTCAGAGCCCACCGCACAACATGACGTCCCAAGCATCCAGGAAAGAGCAGCATCGCTCTGGCTCCTCCCTTAGCCCCGCCCCTTTCTTCCCGAACCCGCCCACCGTCCTCGGAGTCACGTGGCCGCGGGGGTGGGGCGCAGCCGGAGTGGGCGGCTCAGCGCCGCCATCTTGTTAGTTTGGAGGCGGAGCGTGTGGAGTGCAGGTCGCGCGCTTCGTGTCCCCTCCCCTCGCCCTTCCTCGCGCCCGGCCCCGCGCTCCTCCCCACTTCTGGCTGCTGTGGCCACTCCCTGAGTGAAGCAGCGGGGAGAGGGTGAGGGGGTGTGTCCGGCGTGTGCTCGCGCCCTCCAACCGCCAGCCGCGGCCGCGGCGGCGCGCTCGGCCGGCCCCCTCAGCCCCCCGGACCGCGCGGGGCGGAGGGGAGGGGGCTGCTCGCGCTGAGGGGGCGGCGCGCGGCGGCCGTGGCGGCCGAGGCTGCGGCTGCGGCTGCGGCGGTGCGCTGGGGCCGCGCGTCCGGGGCGCCCGCGCGTCAGACCCGCCGCCACTGGAACCATGTACCGCAGCGGCTCCCGCTCCTCCGTCTCCTCGCACCGGCCCAAGGAGAGCAGCGGGGGCTGCCCGCGCTCCAGCCGCAGCTCCGGCGCTTCCTCGGGCCCGGGTCGCCGCTCCTCGCCGCCGCCCTCCAGCTCCTCTTCACGGGCCCCGGCGCGCCGGCCCCGCTCGCCCTCAGGGCACCGCGGCCGTCGGGCCTCGCCTTCCCCACCCCGGGGTCGCCGCAGCTCCACGTCCCCACTCCGCGGCCGCCGGGCCTCGCCGTCCCCGCCGCGGGGTCGTCGCGGCTCCCCTTCCCCAACGAGGGCTCGTCGCGGCTCCCCGTCGCCGCCGCCGCCGCGGGCCCGACGGCTCTGCCCGCCCGGCTTCCGAGGCAGCAGCCGGGGGGAGTCCCGCTCCGACTTCGCCCGGGACGGCCGCGGAGACCATCCAGGCGACAGCGGCAGCCGGGTAATCCCACCCCTCGACCGAAACTCTCGCTACCCCGGCCCTGTCACCCCGGGTTCTCGCTTTCCAAACGCCCTCAAATCCCAGCGCCGCCAGGCCTCCAGGCCAGGGTCCCCGAGTCGGAGGTCCTTCATCCCCCGGCCGACGCCGGACCCGAGGCTCCCCGCCCCGGAGCTGCTTGTGCACAATGAGGACTCGGGACCCGTTCGGGCGCCGGGTCGGGAGGAGCGCTCCGTCCCCGGGGAGGAGGCTGTGGGCGCCCTCGGTGCGGTGGGGAAAAGTTTGCCAGCGAGGGGACTCTCTCCAACCCTGTGCCTGCTACTTTTCCCGTAGTTGATGCTTCCTCAGAGTTGCGGGCTTTTGTGTCCCCGAAACACGAGCTGCCTCCCAGGTCACAGGAAAGATGCCTTTGTGCGTTAGGGTCGCCTCATCGGCCAGGCAGACCCCGGCGTAGAGGCTGCGGGCTGTCCTAGCGGAGCGGCGCTCGGAGGGGGTGCGTGCCGGCCCGCCCGCAGGAGGTGATCCGCCGCCTCCCTGAGTTATGCGGCAGGGACTAGTGCTAGCCTGAGTCCTGCAGCTCACCCAGCCTCTGAGCATGCACAGCCTTTTGGGGTGAGGCATTTAAGGTGATTCCCTCCGAAGAACAGCTGAGGGACCCAGAGAGGGTTAAGGAGGAATCAAGGGCACCGCTCAGAAGTGGAGGTGCTGTGATTGAATCCACGGCTGCCTGGTTCTGGGCACCCATGATTTCTGCCACTCTGTTTCCCTGCTAGGGGACCGAGCATGAGGTTACAAAGTTTAGGTGAGACCTAACATCGACCTCTCACTCAGCCTCCTTCTCGAAGGGCCTCTGGGTAGGGTCTGATGTTTTGACTTGCCTTTGCATTCACCAGTCCCCTGTAAAAACCCATCGCGGACCCTGCTTTGTTTTCTTGAGGGGCTCCCTGACAGTATGCTCTTGGCACTCTGGCCATAGGTGAATTGACTGGTCTCTGAGTTAAGATTTTCATAGATGGGCAGCTATAGTCTTGAGTGTTAGTCACTACAGAGCAAGCAAGGAAAACAGAACACTTAATTCCAAACTGCCCTTTTCTCCCATGTACAACCTCAGCTGAGCATACTTTGTTTGCTTAGGCTTTTCTGTCTCAGTAAGTGATCTACAAATTGCTCAGCCCACCATCTCCCTTCTCCCAAGCCTTATCTGTCAAATTAACTTCATCTGGCTAACCTGTCCCCTCTACCTCCAAAGTATATCCCCCAAACTGTCCTCCTGCTATCACTCTCGTCTAAACCCTACCATGTCTTGCCTGGATTATTACATTCAGCTTCTTTACATGCCACTCTTATTACCTTCCAGTTTATTCTCTACCCAACAATCAACATGATTTTTAAAACCTTGTTTTATACATTTGAGAAGTATTTATTGAACATCTACCATGTGTTAGGTGCTGTTCCAGTTACTAGGGGGCATAACTGAGCAAACCAGTTAAAAACTATGCTTTTGTGGAGTTTGTATGCTAGCAGAGGGAGTTGGATAAATAAAATAGGGAAAATGTTTGGCATGTAAAATGCTTAAGAAAACAGAGAAAAACAGAGAAGGGAGTTAATCATTTTTGATAGGGTAGCCAGGGAAGGCTTTTGGGAAGGTAACTTTTTAGTAAATACCTGAAGGAGATGAGGGTATGAGCAGTGTGAGCATCTGGGGGGAAGAATGTAGTCAGATCATATTACTTTCCTTCTTGAAACTCTTCTGTGGCTTCTTAGAATAAAATCCAGTTCTGGCCAGTGGTTAGAACGTCAGCCTGAGCACCGAAGGGTCACAGATTCCATTATTTGTCAAGGGCACTTACCTGGATTGCAGGTTTGATCCCCTGCTCCAGGGATCTGTCACATTGATGTTTCTCTCTTTCTCCCTTCCTCTCTTTCTCTCTCCACCTTTCAATCTATAAAAAAATCGGTGGAAAAATAGCTTTGGGTGAGGATTAACCACAAAAATAGGAATAAAATCCAATTTCATAACTGGTTTCTCCTATCTTCCATCACTTTTATGTAGTCACAGTGATCGCCTTTCTGTTGATCAAAACATGGTAAGCTCATTACAGAGCTTGTTCTTTTTGCTTGAAATATCCTTCCATCTGTTCTTTGCAAGACTGACATCTCATCATTCAGGCCTCATCTTAAATGGTATCACCTCAGAAAATCCTTCTGTAACCATCCTATCAGAAGTAGCTCCCTTTCTCCATTCTCTTTTGTGTTGTGTTTAAATGACTTTATAGCGATCAGAAGTACTTTTCTTTTCAACCTGCCTTGCCTCCTTCACTAGAAATGTATAGGTTCTGAGAGCAGATGTAATTCACTTCTCTAGTCCCATGCCCAGTACCAGTAAATGAAAGAATGAGAAGTCACTGATTGGGTTGGAAGTGTGGGCTTTCATTTAAGAAAATGATAATTTTTTAAAAAGTGCTTTATTTTTAGAGTGGTATCTTACTATAGCCATTTCTCACCTTGTTGGATTACAACTTTGTGACTAGGCAGAACATTTTTGGATACAGAGCTGTATTGACCTGTTATATTATCTTTACTTTTGTAGAGACGATCTCCTGGTCTTCGTTCTGACTCTTCTTTGGAACAGAGCTTAAGAATCACAGTTGGCAATGATCACTACTGTGTCGGCATACCAGAACGGCGGCGGCGGCGTAGTGATAGATTGGGTTCACCAGTGGATAATCTGGAGGACATGGACAGGTGGGCTTTATCTGAGGCAGTGTTATAATAGTGGTTGAAGGTAGAAATGTTGATGTTTTCTGAATGGTATATTTGAAAGAGTGATGCCAGCAGTCAAGTTAATCCTAATAACATTGGAAAAGACTTTCTGGGTGGGGAAAGTATACTGATATAGACTCTGTTGCTGAAAGAATTACATGAAAGAAAAGACTTTAAAGGTGATCTTGGTTCCACTGGAAAAGGGAAGGCTGAGGGGACATAGAGTCCCCTAAATTTAAAACAGATAAGAGGATATGGATTCTAAAATACTGGTACTAGGTGTCTCTTCTGCAAAAGGAAAGTTCTGGACAAAATATGAAATCTTTTTATTTTTTTTAAATATATTTTATTGATTTTGTATAGAGAGGAAGGGAGAGAGATAGTTAGAAACGTCGATGAGAGAGAGTCATCCATCAGCTGCCTCTTGCACACCCTCCACTGGGGATGTGCCCGCAACCAAGGTACATGCCCTTGACTGGAATCAAACCTGGGACCCTTCAGTCCCCAAGCTGACGCTCTATCCATTGAGCCAAACCGGTCCCGGCCAAAATAGGAAATCTTTGATAAAGTTATTTTTCTGCTTGTCCAGGCTGAACTATAGATTCAGAAAGTGTTTAAATAAATTAATGTGTAATATATGTATCTATATTAAATATATAAACATTAATAGGAAGTTACAGGCCTTTAAAAATGTTATTATTTTACAACTATTAAGTGCTGAGGAAGGGCAAGTACACTCTACAGAGTATTAAATATAGATTTCAGGTACTAGGAACTTAATCATATATGGGAAGTAAATAATCATATGTTTTTCTCTCACAAAAGTAAAAAAGTAAGGACAGGAGTGCAGGGAAAGCACTCAGTTTCTGAGATTTGAGAACCATGTCTGATGGTCTCTACCCAGCACATTGGGAGTTTTCATAAATGATTAGATGCTCTTTCAAACTAAGACTTTCATGCAGTGGTACACAGAACATGGGCGGGCAGGTGGGGGACAGCTGGCAGGAAGTCTGAGGTCCAGTGCTGCCCTTTGGCAATATTTACTTCGAAGTTCCAGTGGCTATCTGGTGTACTGAAGCAAGGCAGTCCAGTCCAGTGTCATATAACACTGAAGCTTCTGAAGGTAGGGCTTCAGGGTATGTTGACTATATCACTTAACTGAGGAAACAGCCCTGTCCTTCTGTAATTTCTATTTTAGGAGATGATTGAGTAGGCAGCGTGAATGGGTGGTGCGTGTGTGATTGTCTTCCTTCCTTGCTGAGGTTTTGAGGTAACTTTAGCATTTCCTCTTGTTAGGCCTGAGCTGTCTGTCACTCCCTTTCTATGAGTTTCATTATGCATGTGTTCTTCAGATAGTCAATTGTCTGTTTTTAAATTATAAAAGTTAAAAATTTTCTCTTAGGGAGTTTAGGTCAGTAATCTTTCCAGAATCCTGTATTTCAGAGAGAAAATTCTATTTTAGAGAAAATGAGATTAAGGTTCTAAAAGGAGGCCATTCTTTTGACTTTTGCCCCTGCACTCTTGCACAATATGGTTAGTGTGAATAATTACTGTCCACTAAAACCAGGACTCAGGACCATTGGCAATTTTAGGATATCTCCTGAAAGTGAGTCCAATTTTCAGCTAATGAAACAGGCCATGTCCATCCTTTATATGTTGGTTTTTTGTTATTTTTTCCCTGAGATCCAAAAATTCTTTTTCTTCCCTATTGAAGCTGTTAAATTTTTATCAGGTTTAGGTTACAGATTCTAGGGTTATCAGTATCTTCACCCTTGGCGGCCTGTATGTAGGACTGTAACTTATTTTGAAAAGGGAACATGATTAAGTTGTGTGAAGATACTTAGTTTCTAAAGACTTGTGGATGTGAGGTTGATTTCCCCTGGTTATCAAAGTACTCTGCATGTTGTAAGTTCCATTCTTGAAATTACTGTACCCTATCTCCTCCTTGCTCTGACATACTTTGAAGTAGAATATCCTCGCCCCCACCCCCTCCTGTGATTTGCCTTAGGGAAAAGACTGAGCAAATAGATTTCTTTAGGCATTTTGAGGAATCCGTAGAAGAAAAGAATGGAAAGTTTGGGCTCTGAAGGGCCTTTTTAAATTTATTACAGCTTTATTGAGCCATAATTCATGTATCATACAGTTCACCTATTTAAAGTGTCCAGTTCAGCTGAAACCGGTTTGGCTCAATGGATAGAGCGTCGGCTTGGGGACTGAAAGGTCCCGGGTTCGATTCCGGTCAAGGGCATGTACCTTGGTTGCGGGCATATCCCCAGTAGGGGGTGTGCAAGAGGCAGCTGACTCTCATCGATGTTTCTAACTCTCTATCTCTCCCCCTTCCTCTCTGTACAAAATCAATAAAATATATTTAAAAAAAAATTTAAGTGTCCAGTTCAGTGACGTTTAGTATATTCACAGAGTTGTGCATCCACACCACTATGATTAATTTGACATAATTTTTATTACCTGCATCCTTAGCATTAGTCCTCCATATCCTCTACCCTACATATCACTAATCTACTTTCTATCTATATGGATTTGCCCATTCTGGATATTTCATATAAATAGACTCATATATGATCCTTTGTGACTGGCTTTTTCACTTAGCATAGCAGTCTTTCTCATTATTATTGTTTTTTAATCCTCAACCAAGGATATTGTTTCCTCATTGATTTTATATATAGAGAGAGAGAAACATCAAACGGTTGCCTTCTGTACATACCAACCCGGGACTGAATCAACAACCTAGGTATGTGCCCTGACCAGGAGTCTAAGCCGCAGTCTTTTGGTGCACGGGATGATGTTCCAACCAACTGAGCCACCTGGTCAGGGCAGCATAGCAGTTTTTCAAGATTTAGTCATGTTGTAGCATAAAACGGTACTTCATTCATTTTTTATTGCAGATAATATTTCATTGTAGGTATTTTGTTTATCCACTCAGTAGGAATGAATGCATGGATAACATTTGGGTTGTTTTTACTTTTTTGGCTATTACGGACAACTAGAGGATTCGTGCACTAGTGGAGTCCCTCAGCCTGGCCTGCGCCCTCTTGCAATCCAGGACCCCTTGGGGGATGTTGGAATGCTGGTTTTGGCCACCTTACCACAGGCCACCTGCAGGGATTGGACGGAAACTGGCAGTTCTACATCCCCCCAAGGAGTGTAGTAGTGCAACAAATGGCGGGAGGCCAGGAGCCCAAGCTCCAGCTGGGTGCTGCACCTTTTCTGCTCATTCTGGCCCCACTGCACCTGCTGCTGCTGCAACTTGGTAGGTTCATCACTGCTCTGCTACAGTCTCCAGGCTACAGCTGTGTTGAGCCTCTTCCCCCTGGTGGTCAGTGTGAGACATAGTGACTGGTTGTTCAATCACTTAGGCTTTTTTTGTGTGTGTGTGTGTGTGTGTGTGTGTGTGTATGTATATGTATATATAAATAGTGCTATGAACATTGGTGTATAAATTTATTTGTGGACATAAACATGTTTTTATTGATTTTTTAGAGAGAAAGGAATGGAGAGCGATAGAGAGGTAGTAACATAAATGAGAGAGAAACATCATTATTGGCTGCCTCCTGCATACCCACTTCTGGGGACTGAGCCCACAACTTGGGCATAGGAACTGAACTGCAGTCTCTTGGCTCCTGGGTGGATGCTCAACCACTGAGCCACATTGGCTGAGCTGTATATGATTTTAAAAATATGTATTTTAAATTAATTTTTTACAGAGAGGAAGGGAGAGGGATAGAGAGTTAGAAACATCGATGAGAGAGAAACATTGATCAGCTGCCTCCTGCATACCCTCTACTGTGGATGTGTCCACAACCAACGTGCATGCCCTTGACCGGAATTGAACTTGGGACACTTCAGTCTGCAGGCTGATGCTCTACCCACTGAGCAAAATCAGTTAGGGCTGAATTTTAATTTGTTTAATGGAATTTGTAAGTGCAAAAACAAGTAAAGAGAATAGTACAGTGAAGCCCCATGTGTCCATCACCCACACCCAACAATCAATTTTTTTAAATAAACAGAACTTACTTTAGGAAAGAATTGGTCTTAACCAAAGCTTTTATAGAGAGTCTGTCACTGGACTATTCTGAGCTATAGGGCTAAGTTTTATTACAGTCAGTTTTTCCACTTATCCTTTGGGAGACCTAGGGAAGGAGGATAGGAACATATAATAAGCAACTTGATTTCTGCCTATATTTACATAATTTTTTTTTTTTTTTACTCTTTCTATGCCTTCATTGTTTTTTGGCCTCCTTTTTATGGAGATTGCGAGTCTGGAATGAGACTTTCTGAGAGTCATCTCATTTCTAGCTTCTTGGTATTTAGTGCTTGATTAGATCTTGGGTTAGTATGCCATTTGATGGTGACATGTAGTAGTTCTAGTGGGGAGCTGAATGTGGGAGCATGGATGGCTTTGCTACTACTCACAGAGCCTGTGTTTTTTCCCCCTTCACTAATATCAGAAACTCTTACATGGTAGGTAGTATTTTAGCAATGGAGTGACTCACATCATGGACAATACTTTCTGGAAATAGGGGGTTCATGGCTGACAAACCTACAAAGTAAAGTATTTTACTTTAGTTAAATTTGATTTCAGAGATTGTCCTTGGTTTATTTCCATCCTTTTCTATTTCATTTTATATGGAGAATTAAAAATTTCTCAGATTATTGTGGAGAAGGTGAATAACAGGAACCTGTATTCCCACAGGTGACACTCTTTTAGAGGAGGTGATAAAGTTATTTATAGCTGTTAACCAGGACTGATGCTTTGAATAAAGTCTGGGCTGGTGAATAAGAAAAGTCAGTTCTTTGATATTCTAACTCAGTGGTCTGCAGACTGCAGCTCGAGAGCCACGTGCAGCTCTTTGGCCCCTTGAGTGTTCTAACGCCACTTATTCAAAATAGACTCGCCCAGGCCAAAAGCCGACTTCTGAGCATGGACCACTAAGTTTCAATCGCATTGTACATGTGCGCCGGCACATGGTATTTTATGGAAGAGCCACACTCAAGAGGCCAAAGAGCCACATGTGGCTTGCAAGCTGCGGTTTGCCAACCACTGTTCTTAGTCCCAGAGGCAGGAAAGCAAACTATAAAAAAAGAAAAGAAAAAGTCATTTCTAGAAACACAAAAAACAAGAGTAGCTACCAGAAACTGGAAGACACCAATAATTAACATCCTTTGGATGATAATTCACTCTGAATGATGTAAGTTTTTCATTCAGATTACTTAAAAGTCATATGCTTAAAGTGCTAGGGAATCTTTATTTCCATCTGTGATTTAAGTCAGGAACTTTATTTTTTGGACAATAGAAATTCTCTGACCATAATGCCTAAAAAGATTAGGACTCTTATGTGGTATAGAACTCTGAACTGAAAGGACAGATGTCCCATCCTATATTTTTTTTTACCTTTATGTCACAAAGTTTATTTCTATGAAATATAATATATAGTGAGCCAAACCATCACAAACTCTTTCCTGGGCCCAAGATTGGCAGAGTACTTGTGGCTGTCCAGGCAAGGCAGGAAAGAGGGTAACAAAATAGGCTGAGGGAGTTTTATGAGCCAGCAAAACAAAGCATTGGAGAGCCTTCTAAAACTCATGAGAAAATCATACCAATTAGATCAGTAGTTAAAAATGTTTTTGTTTTTTTTCTCACAGTGAAATTCTTTTCCAAGTGAATTATTATACAGAACTTTACTAGATAAACAGATAAAGTTGAGGCTAGTATTATTCAATGAGGTGGGAGGCCCAGAATCTGTTTTCCTAGTACATGTCCTTTTTTGGGTAGTTCCTAAGCACTGTTTAGAATCTCTGTGGCGCACAACTTGAAAATCAGTGATTTGAACTGGTGTTTTTAAAATTTTAAGGTGCTTACAAATCACCTGGAGACATTGTTAAATGCAGATTCTGATTAGTAGGCCTCAATGGAGCCTGAGAATTTGTATTTCTAAAAAGTTCTCAGGTAATATTGATGTTGCTAATTCAAACCACACTTTTAGTAGCAAGAAGCTAGAATTTACCTATTGCAGAGTTTTGTAATCCAGGGCTCTTTGTAGTCTGGTAGTGGTGTTTTCAGTCCCCCAAAACCTAGCATGATACTTTACACCCCCAAAGTCAAGTCAAAGAAATCAGCCTAAGAGCTTTGTTACATAGATTAGTAATATCTTGCCCAGCCAATGTTGCTAAGTGGTTGAACCTTGACCCATAAATCATGAGGTCACAATTTGATTCCCAGTCAGGGCACATGCCTGGGTTGCAGGTTCTATTGCCAGTAGGGGGTGTGCAGAAGGCAGCTGATCAATGATTCTCTCTCATCACTGATGCTTCTATTCCTCTCCCCCTCTCCCTCCTCTGTCTGAAATCAATAGTAAACCCCCCCCCCCCCACACACACACACAAACACACATATTTAGTAATATATCCCCTTGGTTAGAGGCTGAAGTTTCTTGGGTCTGCCCCAGGTGAAAGAGAGGGGAAATGTTCCATGTATATTTAGAGATTTGTTCTTGGACTTCATGATTATTGTCTTTTGTCCTAAGCATTCTGTAGCATCCTTGTGGAATATCAGTTTCTTAGCCTTGTCTGGTCTTGCTCTTTCCAAGTCTATTGTATTTAGTAAGTCTTGTCTCTTTCCTCAGGGATGACTTGACTGATGATTCTGTCTTCACTGGAAGCTCCCAATGCACTCGAGATCTTGAACGATATATTTCCCAGGAGGAGGGGCCTCTCAGTCCCTTCTTGGGACAGCTTGATGAGGACTACCAAACAAGAGAAAGTTTCCTGCGTCATTCTGATTATAGTCCCCATATCAGTTGTCATGATGAGTTGTTGCATGGAACAGAACGGAGTAGAGACAAATTCAAAAGCTCCTATTCTATACGACCCGAGGAAAGGAGCCGGGAGGCCAAAAGGCCCCGTTATGATGATACAGAGAAGATGCACAGCATGGGAAGTGATCACCCACATTTTACATCAGGGACCCACAGCTATCGACAGCATAGACAGAGCACAAGCCCTAGGTTTCTAGATCCCGAGTTTCGAGAGCTGGATCTTGCCAGGCGAAAACGAGAGGAAGAAGAAGAACGAAGTAGGAACTTGAGTCAGGAGCTGGTGGGAGTTGATGGTGGTGATACAAGCTGTCCCATCCCTGGATTATCAGGTGTCTTAACAGCATCAGAGCCAGGATATTCTTTACATCAGCCTGAGGAAGTATCTGTGATGCCCAAGAAGTCGATTCTGAAGAAGCGGATTGAGGTGGACATGGAGTCTTCTATGCAGGTCTCTGCTTCGTTTCTTCTGTGGCCTCTTGCTAGTTACTTTATATGTTAAAGTCTGGTTAGTTATTAATACATGGGGGCTCTGTCCCTAGGCATCATTGTAACATGTGCTGGACCAACATTGTTATGCCTATGAGCTGCACCTTTCAGAACTCTCCAAAGGAAACTGTATGTCTCATAATGCATCAGTAGAGCGCTCTCCTGTCATATATTACTAAATAGACATGTAGAGACTATTCATTATATCTATTTCTCTAAATTGGGTAGCCCTGTAAGAATCTTTAATTATTTTTTGGAAATGAAGCTTGAAGCAAAGGAAGGAGTTGATCTGAATTTTCCTTATCTCTCTTTTTTAATTTTTAATTGAAAGGAAGGAAGAGGGATAGAGAGAAACATTGATGAGAGAGACAGAGACAGACATTGATCTGCTGCCTTCTGCATGCCCTCTATTGGGGCTCAAGCTTTCAACCCAGGCATGTATGTGCCTTGACTCAGAATCTAACCGTGACCACCTGGTTCATGGTTCAACCACATCAGCCAGGCATCTCATCTCTCTTTAGAGAGAAAACAAAATATATGAGTGGTAGGACACTAGACCAAAAATCAGGTGATTCTGAACTCTGCCACCAATTTGCTGTGTGATTTTTAGACAAGTTCTCACCATTCTGGGCCTTGATATTTTTTCTTCACCTATAAAAAGATGGTCAGGAATAAGTACTAGCTTTTAGCTGTCCTTTTAAGAGCTAAAGGTTTTTGAAGAGGTGCCTAAGGGCACTTAGGGAAGCAAGGGAAGGCTGATCAGTTAGTATTTCAAAGTTTCCAAACTCCACTTAAACCAAAGCAGCTCTATTTTTATGTGTTTTTTCTTTTCTTTTGGAATTCATAGAAAACAAGTAAGCTAGGACATCTCTAAAGTTCTTTTGAATTCAAATTCCTTGATAAGGATTGCAACAAATGAGCAAAAGGGAGAATTCAATCAAATCTGCCTTATTTCCTGTTTCTCCTTGTCATAACAGAAACATCTGGAGAGATGGGGACCCAAATCTTGAACCTGGCTAAGGATACTGTATCTCACCTCATACTTCTCTTTCTCCTATTAATTCAAGAATAACAAAGCATCTAAGTACTTCAGTTGCTAGTTTTATGAGTTTCTTGCATATGAGCTAAATTCACTGTTTGTCTTTGCAGCTTGAGAGTTTTTCGAGCAGTACTGGCTCCAGCGAGGATCATCCTCTCTTCTCTGGACACCCATCTGTTCCACTGAGTGGTGCTATTGCTGCTTTTGCTTCAGAGATTGAAAACAACAAGGGGACTCTGGTAGAGACAACCCTGAAGGAACCTCAGGGCAATCTCTATCAATGGGATCCTCTTCCTGGGATATCCAAGGACAACAGTCCTCTCAGAGAGAAGTTTGGAAGTTTTCTGTGCCACGAAGAGAAACCTGATATGAAGGCTGAGGGACCTGAGCGACACACAGACTTCTTGCTGCCCCATGAGAGAGCTAGCCAGGATGGCAGTGGTTTTTCCCGCATTCTGAGCATTTTGGCAGATTCTACCAGTACCCAGGAAAAAAAGCAACATAGCTTTCCTGACATAGAGGATGAGGAGAAATTTCTCTATGGAGATGAAGAAGAGGATTTAAAGGCAGAATCTCCACCAAAGCCCCTTGGGAGCTCTGATAGTGAAGTTATGAGGCAGAAACCAAGCTCCCTGCCTTCTTCAGCTCCAGCTGTAAAGATAGAATCAATAGAAGAGACCAATCCAGAATATGCCAAAATTCATGATTTGCTCAAGGCCATAGGCCTAGATATTGGGGTAACAGAGATTAGTCAACTGGCTGCACGTACCCAGGAACGACTTCATGGCAAGAAACCATCACGTTCCTCCACTGACCGCCGTTCCTCAGTTGACAGGCACTTTTCAGCAGACCGCTGTTCCTCAGTTGACCACTATTTTTCAGCTGATCAACATTCTTCAGATCCTCACAAATTGGAGAATAAAGAGGCACGCCATAGCAATACTCACTCCCCAGAGGTGTCCCATCCACATCCAGTCTCCCCTATGGATCCTTACCTGATTACAAAAAACAGTTCCCCATTCCTAAAGTCTGACCATCCAATGGGCCATATTGCAGGACCTGAGATGGTTGGCAGTGGGTTTCAGTCATCTGTTGCAGTCAGGTGCCTGTTGTCATCAGCCCCGTCTGCCTCAATTAGACTTCCACACTCTGCTTCTTTATCACATTTTCATGTGCCAAGGACTTCTCAGTTCTCTGCAGCTCGGATACCTTCAAATTACCAGGGTCTTGCCATTCCCCCTGCTTCCTTTGATGCCTATAGGCATTACATGGCATATGCAACCTCAAGGTGGCCCATGTACCCCACCTCTCAACCATCAAAGCACCTTCTACCTGAGCCACACAGGGTGATGCCAGTTACCAAACAAGCTACTCGTAGCCGGCCCAATCTCCGTGTGATCCCCACTGTGACTCCTGCTAAACCCAAGAAGGAAAAGTCAGTGTTAGGCTCAATTCCTGTTGCCCAAGTGCCTGTCCAGGTGTCTATCCCACCGCTCATAAGATATAATCCGGAAAAGATCTCTGATGAGAAGAATCGTGCTTCCCAGAAGCAGAAGGTGAATATTAACTTTGGGGATCCTGCGCCTGAGTCTTTTATTTTAATATAAATTTGTATTTGTCTTTTAGAAGGAGCTGAAAAAACTTACTTTTAAGTTCTTTAGAGGCTGCTGTCATCACCCTAAGTAATATATATATACCTCCTCTTTTTCTCACATGTTTTGTCATTAAGACTAAACTAAAGTCTGGTTCTAGATTCCAATAATTGCTAGGCTTTTTTCTATTTTACGTTTATTTCTTTATTCAATTATTTGTTTTAGAACACTTAGGGATAGGAGCCGGGAGCCTTGAAATCTTCAATATGACCTCATTAGAGAGTGATGAACCAAAATTGGATTATCTGAAGGAGGATCAATAAATCTTATATTTCAGCTGTTCTATCTGTGGAGTAGCCACTCGCAGTCTCACTGCTTCACTAATAAACTCTTAAAAAAAAAGATAGGTAAATCTATTTTTTCACCCTACTAAGTTTTGGATCGTTTTCCTATAATGATTATGGGGGGTCAATATCTAATAAATAGTTGTTGCTCATCAGTTAAACCAAGAAATAAATTTTTCTTGTTCTGGTTTATTTTATTTTATTATTATTTTTTTTATAAAAAGATATTTTATTGCTGGGACCGGTTTGGCTCAGTGGGTAGAGCATCGGCCTGCGGACTGAAAGGTCCCAGGTTCGATTCCGGTCAAGGGCATGTACCTTGGTTGTGGGTACACCCCATGTGCAGAAGGCAGCTGGTCGATGTTTCTCTCTCATCGACGTTTCTAACTCTCTGTCCCTCTCAATTCCTCTCTGTGTAAAATCAATAAAATATATATTAAAATATATATATATATATTGAATATATATATTTTATTGATTTTTACAGAGAGGAAGGGAGAGAGACAGAGAGCTAGAAACGTCGATGAGAGAGAAACATCGACCAGCTGCCTCCCGCACACCCCCCACTGGGGATGTGCCCACAACCAAGGTACATGCCCCTGACCGGAATCGAACCCGGGACCTTTCAGTCCGCAGACCGACGCTCCACCACTGAGCCAAACCGGTTTTGGCATGTTCTGGTTTATTTTAGATCTAGGAATCACATTATTTTATGACACTTTTTTTTTTAAAGCAGTATTTTTTTTACTCAAGGTTCATGGGGTTCCTAGGCTGTAAGATGGAAGCAGTGGCTGTGTTAAAGATACAATTCTAGATGTTTTAAGGCAATAGGTAAAAATTTTGTAGGGGCATACAATTCTAAGTAGAAGAATTTTGGATGGAAAAATTGATACATATTGTTAATTTCAAAGGTCCTTAAAAACTAATAACACACTTTGATTAGAAACACAAAAATGTAATACATTTGTATACATTTGATTTGCTAATAAAATAATACCTGAGGAGAAAAAAAAAAAAGAAAAAAAAAAAAAAAGAAAAGAAAAAAAAAATATATATATATTGATTTTTTACAGAGAGGAAGAGAGAGGAATAGAGAATTAGAAACATTGATAGAGAGAAACATAGATCAGGCACCTCCTGCACACCCCCCACTGGGGATGTGCCCGCAACCAAAGTACATGTCCTTGACCGGAACTAAACCTGGGACCTTTCAGTCTGCAGGCCGACTCTCCGCTGAGCCAAACTGGTTTTGGCATCATTTTTTTTTTTTTTTTTTCTCCCAGTTTAGAAGAAATTTAGCTAATCCTTGAGAAGACAAAAAAAAAAAAATAAATAATAATTATCTTAATTTTCCATTGTACTTGGATACCCTGAATTTTCATTTTGTTGCAATCTTTTGGGCAAGGAGGATAGGTTCAAAAAAGATAAAACTTAAGACTACAGAGACACTGCTTGGAGACTGAGTGATTTTTTTTTTTTAGTTTTCACCTGAGGATATTTTTCCATTGATTTTTAGAGAGAGTGAAAGGGAGGGGCAAAGACAGAAACATCAGTGTGAGAGAGAGACATCAATTGGTTGCCTTCTGCACATGCCCTGACCAGAGGATCTGCAACCGAGGTATATGTCTTTGACCAGAATTGAACCTGGGACCCTTCAGTCCACAGATCCATACTCTATACATTGAGCCAAACCAGTTAGGGCTAGATTAAGCACTTTCCCTTTAAGAATCTAGCACTTAAGTCAAGGTTTATAATAACAGGTTTTTCACACTTGCCCATTATGGACAAGCCATATTTGTTTCCCCCCCCCACTAGATGGTAGTAAAATAGTTGAAAGATCATGAACTTTAGGTCATTTATACCTAGATATTAAATGCTCTTACTGTATGACCCTGATATGTTACTTAATCTTTCACAATTCAATTTTCTTATTGCAAAACAGGGATAATGTCATAAAGATTAAATAAAATGGTATATGTGCTTCGCCCACAATACAGATTAGTTTCCTTGGTGGTTCTTTTTGGGTTTAGAGCTACTATCTAGCAATTGCTGTCAGTAGTGTTAGGTTAAAATTAATAGTGTAATGCTTTTTGCATAGAAATAATACTTTTTGGGCAATGTAGCTCTGGAAAGGCTAATTCAGTTCTGGAATTTGGATCAGAATAAAAGATGATCTTTACTATAAAGTCAGAGCCTCTCTGTATAGGCTTTTTGATTATTACATTCAGATACTACCTAGCATGAAGGCTATGGACGAGTGCAGTAAGAAAGGGAAGATGTTGGAGGCTGAAGCACTCTTACCATTTTTTACTTTGCAGGTTATTGAAGAGAGGGAAAAACTAAAGAGTGACCGGGAAGCTCGCCAGAAGAAAATGTACTATCTCAGGACTGAGTTGGAGCGACTTCATAAACAACAAGGTATCAGACACTGCTTTGTATGACTGCCTTTTAGGAGTAATTTGAGTAAGAGACCCAAATGAAGATCTCTGGGGACTCTCAAACAGGTTTAGTGACCTAAAGTCTCACTTAAAAAAATTTTTTTTGAGATAGATTTATGAAAAAGATATACGGTAATTGTAGTGTAAATAATTAACAGGTATTCTCCATCATTATTAGCATTTTATTGTATTTGCTCTATCCTTATTTCCCTTCTATCAATCTATGTGTGTTTGTAATTTTTAGTATCTCCTAACAATAAATAATTGACTTGCATAACCATAATACATTTACCAAAAATTAGGAAATTAGCAGAAATAATAATCTGCTGATATTATTTATATTTTACCAGTTGTCCAATAATGTCCTAAAGCAAAATGATATGCAAGGTTATGCATTGCATTCCACAGTCATGTTCTTTTATTTATTTATTTATTTATTTAAATATATTTTATTGATTTTTCACAGAGAGGAAGAGAGAGGGATAGAGAGTTAGAAACATCGATGAGAGAGAATCATCGACCAGCTGCCCCCTGCACACCCTACACTGGGGATGTGCCTGCAACCAAGGTACATGCCCTTGACCGGAATCGAACCCGGGACCTTTCAGTCCGCAGGCTGATGCTCCATCCACTGAGCCAAATCGGTGCCGGCCACAGTCATGTTCTTTTAATCTCCTTTAATCTTTAACAATTTCTGAATCTTTTTATTTCATGATATAGACATTTTAGAAGAGAAGAGGTCATATTTTGTAGTCCTTTAATTTTGTTTTGTCTGATGTTTATTAAGGTTATGAATTTTTAAAAATATATTTTATTAATTTTTTACAGAGAGGAAGGGAGAGAGATAAAAAGTTAGAAATATTGATGAGAAAGAAACATCGATCAGCTGCCTCCTGCACACCCCCCACTGGGGATGTGCCTACAACCTAGGTACATGCCCTTGACCAGAATCGAACCTGGGACCCTTCAGTCCGCAGGCTGACGTTCTGTCTATTGAGCCAAACTGGTTTCGGCTTAGGTTATGAATTTTTGGCAGGAACATCACAGAAGTGATGCTGAGTTCATATCTAGTGTTTGTTTATCCCATTACTGTTGATATCATCTTTGATTATTTGGTTAAGGTGGTGTCTGCCAGGTTTCTCCACTGTAAAGTTACTATTTAATCCTTTTTAATCCTTTTTAATCTTATAGGGAAAATACTTTGAGACTATGTAAGTATTCAGTTGCTCCTCAAACTTCTGCCTTCTAGCATTTATTGATATTCTTGTCTGAATGAGTTGATATTATGATAGTTGTTAGCGATTTTCTAATTTCATCATTCTTTCTTTATTAGTTGACTTTCTGTTGCTAGGAGGAGCTTTCCACCCACCTCTCCTTCTCCATTTATTTATCTATTCATATCAGTGTGAACTTATGGATTCTCCATTCAATAAATTATAATAAAATGCTATCAATATTTATTTTATACTCAAATTGCCCCAGTTTTGGCCAGTGGGACCCCTTTAGGTTGACTCTGTGTTCTTTTAATATGTCCTCATCATTTTTTTGAGTACTTTCTTACTTTTTGGCCCAAAAAGATGTTACATGATACCTCTTTTCTTTCCTTCCTTCCTTCCTTCCTTCCTTCCTTCCTTCCTTCCTTCCTTCCTTCCTTCCTTCCTTCCTTTTCCTCACCTAGGGATATTTTTTCCATTGATTTATAAGAGTGGAAAGGAGTGGGAGGGGGGGTAGGAAAAGAGAGAAACATCAACGTGAGAGAGACACATTGATTGGTTGCCTCCTGCACATGCCCCGATGGGGGCTGGGAATCAAGCCTGCAACCAAGTACATGAACCCTGACCCTTTGGTGCATGGGACAGCACTCAACAACTGAGAGCCACACCAGCCAAGGCCCATGATATCTCTTTTGATTTCTTCTCTTCATCTATGCTTTTGAGAATCAATATATACCCCAAAGAAAGAATATAAAAAGGTTTCTAAATATTATAGCTTGGTGATAGCACGGAAAATTAGAGTGTGAGAAGATATTTCTTCTGTTTTGGTTTGAACTATTTAAGGATAAAAATCTTAGTTATTAATCCTGTGAGGATTAATTCATCAGGTCCTGCCATTTGGATAGGAGATAACATTAAGTGAGCCTGAAGAAAAGCTTAAAACTCAATGTAGGCATTGGTGAAAGATCCTTAAATCAGATAAAGTAAAATTTGTGACTAATTTTTGCTCTCTGAATAATTCTTTCCTTTGGAGAGGACAGCCTCTGGATTCATAGTTACATCATTTATTAACCTTTTTAGAGACATATGCACACAAATTTATATATACCATTTTGGGGATTCATGGAGCCCTGAAGGCAGTCTGAGGATTCATTAGCTAATAACCCCTGCATGAAAGATAATGTAATCACTCCATAGCAGCTTTACCTCCATAGCAGCTTCACCTAAACCAGTTCATGGAGAAGGAGAGTTCCACTTGCTTTTTAAAAGTTTTATGGGAGAAAATGTCATGACCATAAAGTCTTGAGAGTTTACTACTAATGACTGAAAAATAATGTCTTAACTTACTTTCTTTGTGTTTCTTTCTATTGACATTTGACTACTCAGGGGAAATGCTGCGCAAGAAACGAAGGGAGAAGGATGGCCACAAAGACCCTCTCCTGGTGGAAGTGAGTCGGCTTCAGGATAACATTATGAAGGATATTGCAGAACTTCGACAAGAGGCAGAAGAGGCCGAAAAGAAGCAATCTGAACTGGACAAAGTGGCTCAGATCCTGGGAATTAACATTTTGGACAAATCCCAGAAGTCTTCAAATGATTATAAAGAGTCTTCTGAGAAACCTGGGAAAATAGAAAAATCTAAGAGCCCAGAAAAAGTATTATCGTACTCAAACTCCTCTTTGAAAAGCAAGGTAAAAAGTCAACTTTTTCATTTCTATTTTTTAAATTTATTTTCATGGACTCCTAAAGAAGCTTTCTAATTAACCATTTTCTTAGCTTCTCTTTCCAACCTGTTCTTATTCTTGTTAGAGTTTTGTAAAGCATAGATCAGATACTCTTCAGAATTTTAGCAGTTCCCCTTTGCTGACAAGGTATAATCCCAAACCCCTAGTATTCAGGGCCTTCCATGTTCTTGTTTTAGCATTCACTCCAGTTTTGGCTTCTGATCTTATCATAATATACTATATACTAAAGGCCTGGTGCACGAAATTCATGCACGGGGGCAGAGGGTTGTCCCTCAGCCCACTCTGCACCCTCTCCAATCTGGGACCTTAAGGGATGTCTGACTGTCAGGTGGGTGGGATCGGGCCTAAATGGGCAGTCAGACATCCCTCTCATAATCCAGGACTGCTGGCTCCCAACTGCTCACCTGCCTGCCTTCCTGATTGCCCCTAACCTCTTTTGCCTGCCAGACTGATCACCCCCTAACCACTCCCATGCCAGCCTGATTGATATCTAATTGCTCCCCTGCCAGCCTGGTCACCCCTAACTTCCCTCCTCTGCTGGCCTGGTCACCCCTAACTGCCCTTTCCTGCAGGATTGATTGCCTTCAACTGCCGTCCCTTGCAGGCATGGTCCCCTCTCAACTGCCCTTCCCTGCTGGCCATCTTATGTCCACATAGGGGCAGGATCTTTGAGCACATGGGGGCAGCCATATTGTGTATTGGAGTGATGGTCAATCCACATGTTACTCTTTTATTAGATAGGATAGTGCATGGGTGGGGGCCAGCTGGTTTGACATGAAGGGAGTCCTGGATCAGGGTGGGGGTTCCCTTAGAGCATGGGACGGCCCGAGTGAGGGGCCTATAGTGGTTTGCAAGCTGGCCATGCCCCCCAGTGACCCAATCGGGGGCCCTGGTATCTAGGATATATTTACCTTCTACAATTAAAACTTTGTAGCCTAGAGTGGAGCCAAGCCTTCTGCTTGATCCATGGCGGCAGCCGTTTCTGTTTGGATTTGTTTACTTTCTATAATTGAAATTTGTAGCCTAGAGTAGAGGCTTAGGCCTGCTAGGACAGGTAGAAAGCTTGGCTTCTTCCATTGCTGGAGAAACCCAAGCCTCTGTGGCTGCAGCCATCTTTGTTGGGGTTAATTTGCATACGCGCTCTGATGGCCTTGTAGGTGTGGCTTGTGGGCGTGGCTTGTGGAGCAGAGTAATGGTAATTTTCATATTACTCTTTTATTAGGTAAGATACCATTTTTTGGGTTCATATTTAGCAACAAGGTTGTACATTTCAGTTCTCAAATCAGTATAGTAAAACCTCCATGTAATGGGCTAAATTTGGGCAAGGGAGTATCTATTAAAACTGAAAGTCTATTATATAATAAAGTACTTTTTCCAAGTGCAGGTTAAAATATTGACAAATTAATCAGGTTTTACATATGTAGATGTAGTTGTATAATTAAAATTAAGTGTGTATGAAATGTTTAATTTCACAGAAAAGCTTTTTATATGTATTACTATAATTTTAAATTTATACTGAATAGGTCTAATAAATGCATTCATTCACCAGTTACCACGAGTAAACAAATGCACATGGCTGGGGCATGGCTTAATGTGTATCAGAATATCATTGGCCTGAACATGTTAAAACTGTTGCAGAAAGTCATATTATGAGACAACAGAACCAGTTACCTCTCACTCAGTGTACACCCTATGATCAAGTGATAATCATTCACTGACCACTATTTATGATTCATGACTCTTGGATTTAAATATATAGACATTAGTTGTAGCTATGTAATATTTATGTCAGCAAAATTACTACAGTGTTTTTTCCAACGTAAGACCTATTCGCTAAAATTTGTTAAAAATAACAGTGAATGCCCTTACCGGTTTGGCTCAGTGGACAGAGCATCGACTTATAGACTGAATGGTTCCAGGTTCAGTTTCTGTCAACAACATTTACCGTGGTTGCAGGAACATCCCTTAGGAGGTGTGCAGGAGACAGCTGATCGATGTTTCTAACTCTCTATCTCTTTCCCTTCCTTTCTATGAAAAACCAATAAAAATTTTTTAAAAAAATAACAGTGAATTAACCCTGGCTGATGAGCTCAGTGTCGGCCCATGCACCAAAGGGTCTTGGGTTCAATTCCAGTCAAGGTCATATGCCTGGGTTGTGGGTTTGCTCCCCATCCCCTACTTGGGGTGTGTGTGGGAAGGCAACCAGGCGAAGTATCTCTCACATTCATGTTTCTCTCTTTTGCTCTTTGTTCCTCCCTTCCTCCCTCCCTTCCACTCTCTGAAAAGCAATGAAAAAATATCCTCTTGTGAGGATTAACAAAAACAAACAAATAAACAGAAACAGTGAATTAACAACAACAACAGCCGAAACCGGTTTGGCTCAGTGGATAGAGCGTCGGCTTGGGGACTGAAGGGTCCCGGGTTCGATTCTGGTCAAGGGCATGTACCTTGGTTGCGGGCATATCCCCAGTATGTTTCTAACTCTCTATCTCTCTCCCTTCCTCTCTGTACAAAATCAATAATATATATATATATATATATATATATATATATATATATATATATATATATATATAAAACAACAACAACAACAACAAAATAACCTGTTAATTTAATTATAAGCAAATCTTGGGTAAAGTCCTTTTAAAACTAACAAGGTGTTAATTTTCACATATGACATACACACCAGAAATTTTGTCCGTTAAATCCGAAGTCTGTTATATTGAGGTCTGCAAAATGGAGGGTTTGCTATATTTGATACAGGAACTATTGACTCTCAAAAATGCTCTTTTTCCTTGGCTGCTATCATACTTCTTTCCTTCCTAGTATGCTGGCTGCTGCTGCTTAGTTTCCTTTACTGTCTATTCTCTTGAACCTGATCTTTAACTAGTAGTTTAGTTATTCAGGGCTCAGTTCTAACTGAGTTCTCCAAAATTCTGCTTTCTCCTTAAGTCATTTTATCCAGTTCCATGCTGACACATTCTAATTTTATAATGATTCTTTGAGGTCCAAATCTAAGTCCAAGAGACTACTCATCATTCATTTCTACTTCAGTGTCTCAAGACACTTCAAAATCAACATATCCTAAACTAAACTAATGATTGTTTAACTCCCTCTGGTGTTATCCAACTGTTATGCCAACAGTTTTCATGACAACCTGAACAGCCTTCTTAGTGCTTTCCTCTCCCTTACTGCTTTATACCAGTCTAGAGGTGCAATGCATGAAGATTCGTGCAAGAATTGGCCTTCCTTCCCCTAGCTGCTGGCATTGCCTTTGCTCCAATCCAGAGCCGCCTTTCCACCTTCCCATGTTGTCCAGAGGCCCACAGTGGCTGGGGCAGTGCAGAATGCCTGTGTCATTGCCTCATATGCAAATTAACCCATCATCTTTGTTGGGTTAATTTGCATACCAACTCCTGATTGGCTGGTGGGTGTCACGAAGGCACGGTCAATTTGCGTCTTTCTCTTATTAGTGTAGATTCTACCTGCTCTCCCTCCAAAATAAGTCTTAATTCCATCCATCTTACTATCTCCATTGCCGTCCAAGTTCAAGCCTTCTTTAATTCTTTTTCCTTTTTAAAATATGTTTTTATTGATTTTAGAGGAAGGAAGAGGGTGAGAAAGATAGAAACATCAATGATGAAAGAGAATCATAAGTTGGCTGCCTCCTGCACGCCCCCTACTGGGAATCGAACCTGCAACCCGGGCATGTGCCTTTGACCAGAATCAAACCTGGGACCCTTCAGACCACAGGCTGATGCTCTATTCACTGAACCAAACCAGCTAGGGCCACCTTCAATTCTTGCTTGTATTGCTACATTCCTGTTTCTTTCTCCAGTGATCATGATACACCCTGCCTACCTCTTTAGCCTCATTTATGTACCTTTTCTCCCTGGATCACTATAATATTATTACTGGCCTTTTCATTCCACAAATCTGTCACTCCCTCTAATGTCTTTACATCTTTTCTTCCCTATGATTATCATGCAAACTCCATTTTTTCCTTATCCCTTCTAACTTATATTCATTCTTCAGGTTGCAGCTTAAATAAATGCCGACTCCCTTCCTTGATTTCCCAAACTGTTAAAATTGCCTGATATATACTCAACAATACTTTTAACTTTTTGTCTTAGCATTTTAAAAATATATTTTTATTGATTTCAGAAGGAGAGAGATAAAAACATCAATAATGAGAGAGAATCATTGATCAGCTGCTTCCTCCATTTCCCCCACTGGGGATCAAGCTGCAACCTGGGCATGTGCCCTGACCAGGAATGGAACCATGACCTCCTGGTTCATAGGTTGTCACTCAACCACTGAGCCATACTGGCTGGGCTGTCTTAGCAGTTATGACAGTTATAATTATATAATTGCATGTGTTTCCCAATTAGATTTTAAGGTTTAAGGGACAGGGACTGTATTTATCTTTTCAATATAGTCCCCAATATGTAGCTCAGTACATGGCACATAGTAAATGAGTAGTGCTCAATAAAAATTACATTACGTCTTATACTCCTACCACCTCAAAATGCTTGCTCTTTTCTAGATGTTCAATGTGTTATTTGCCCCTTTAATTTTGCATTAATAATCCTCTTAGCCTAGTGTAATCTTTCTCCTAACCCCACTCATCTACTAAGATCCAATTTGAATACTACTTTCTCCATGAAGGATTCCTGAGTTCTACCCAGATTTAGTCAGCCCTTCTTTAATACTTCTATCTATAATATATTAGAGGCCTGGTGCATGAAAATGCATGCACTGGAGGGGGTGTCCCTTAGCCTGGCCTGCCCCTTTTCACAGTCCAGGAGCCCTCACGGGCAGGAGGCGACCCGGCAACCGGGAAGGCAATGCCCACATCACACCTCTGCTGCTGCCACTGCTGGCAGTGCAAGCCTCAGCCGGTCCTGGTTACCTGTGCCTCAGGCGACCCTGGGCAGCTGCCATTGAGGTTTGCCTGCATCTTGGGCTGGCCCTGGGGGGACTGAGGGGACTTTTTTAAGAATCATAATAACTATGGAGGGAAGAAAACCCAAATAGAAAAGGTAATTGACAGGTTACGCAAATGCAGAGAATAGATAGATGATTGGACTGGAGGTACTTATAGATAGATGATTGGACTGGAGGAAAGCACTTATCATCTCCTACTGGGGATGTGCCAGCAACCAAGGTACATACCCCTGACCGGAATTGAACCTGGGACCTTTCAGTCCGCAGGCTGATGCTCTATCCACTGAGCCAAACCAGTTTTGGCCATAATTTTTATCTTTACCTTTTTCTTCCTCTTCTTAGAGAATACCCTTCAGCATTTCATATAATACTGGTTTGGTGGTGGTAATGAACTCCTTTAGCTTTTTCTTGTTTGTGAAGCTCTTTATCTGACCTTGAATTCTGAATGATAGATTTGCTGGGTAGAGTAATCTTGGTTGTAAGTTATTATTATTCATCACTTTGTATATTTCTTGCCACTCCCATCTGGCCTGCATAGTTTCTGTTGAGAAATCTGCTGACAGTCATATGGGTACTCCCTTATAGGTAACTAACTATTTTTCTCTTGCTGCTTTTAATATTCTCTTTGTCTTTTGCCCTTGGCATTTTAATTATGATATGTGTTGTTGTTGTCTTCTTTAGATTCCTCTTGTTTGGGGTTCTCTGTGCTTCCTGGACTTATAAATCTATTTCTTTCACCAGGTAGGGAAAGTGGTTTTCGGTCATTATTTCTTCAAATTGGTTTTCAATATCTTGCTCTCTCTCTTCTTCTGGCACCCCCATAATTTGGATGTTGGTATGCTTAAAGTTGTCCCAGAGGTTCCTTACACTATTTTCATACTTTTGGATTCTTTTTTCTTTTCTGGTTTTACTCCTTTTAATTTCAAATCTTTGACTTGATTCTTAGAATTCTCTAGTCTGCTGTTGGATCTCTGTATATTATTTTTTATTTCAATTAGTGTATGCTTAATTTCTGATTGGTTCTTTTTCATATCCTTGAAGGTCTCACTAAATTTCTTGGAGGTTTCTAGAAGATTCTTGAGTAACCTTATAACCGTGGTTATGAACTCTATATCCAGTAGTTTGTTTTCACCCATTTCTTTCATTTGTGACTTTTTGCTTTGTCTCTGCATTTTGGCTGCTTCCCAGTTTCTATGTTCTGGGTAGCTGCTAAGTCTCCTTAAGTTGTTAGAGTGGCCTTGTGTGGTTGGTGTCCTATAGGGCCCATTGTCTTAGCCTCCCCAGCCACCTGAGGTGTATGCTCTTGGTGCACCCCTTTGTGGGCTGTTTGCACAGTCTTTTAGTTAATCCTTGATTGCTGTTGATATCACTGGGAGGAATTGACCTCCAGTCCAATTGGCTATGATGACAAGCAGTATCTACACTGGAAGATCTGTTGTGCAGGAGCCACCCTTATGCTTCAGTGGGGCTTTGGTGCTCACTGGGTCTGCCCCTTGAGTGTGTCTCTTATGGATGTAAAGAGTTGTAATCCGCCGAGACCGGTTTGGCTCAATGGATAGAGTGTCGGTCTGGGGATTGAAAGGTCCCAGGTTCGATTCCGGTCAAGGGCATGTACATTGGTTGTGGGCACATCCCCAGTAGGGGGTGTGCAGGAGGCAGCTGGTCAATGTTTCTCTATCCCTCTTCCTTCCTCTCTATGGAAAATCAATAAAATATATATTAAAAAATAATAATAAAATAAATAAACTTAAAAAAAAAAAGAGTTGTAATCCAATATGGTCTCACTCCAACTACTGCGTATACTGGCTCTTTGATCTCCAAGGAGGTGCAAGGTCAGACACTGTTTGGGACCGCCCAGCAGGGGCTACAGAGACAGCTGCATATTCCTCCTCTTTGTATGGGGTTTGGAAATTCCCAGACAAGGCCCAGCTGTGAAGCAAGGCCGGCTGCTGCTGCCAGGTAGTGTGCCTTCTTTTGGAATCTCTGGGGCTCTCTGACCCAGCTGCAGTTTGTTTTAGACAAAGGAACAGGTCATTCATATGCAAAAGCTGCTGCTCACAGCTTGGGTGTAGTTGTAAATTGGGTGGGACAGGGTCTCTGGGAATCACCAGGGGGATCAAACAGCAATGGCTGCCCTAAACTGGAGAAGTCCCTGGTTCTCCTAGTCCCACATGCCCCCGACCCCCTTGCCATGCAGGAACAGTGATCTCTGTGAGCACCTATAAGAGTAAGCTGCCCTCTCGTTCCTGTCCTGATGCCAGACAGTCCAGTTTCTCTTCGTATATGTTTGAGTCCCCCAAAATCTCCCCCGAACTGGAATTCAAAGCAAGCGGGAGCTTGTATCTCCCTCTCTGTTTAAAAAGCAGCATATCCAGCCGAAGCCGGTTTGTCTCAGTGGTAGAGCGTCGGTCTGCGGACTGAAAGGTCCCAGGTTCGATTCCGGTCAAGGGCATGTACATTGGTTGCGGGCACATCCCCAGTAGGGGGTGTGCAAGAGGCAGCTGGTCGATGTTTCTCTCTCATCGAGGTTTCTAGCTCTCTATCTCTCTCCCTTCCTCTCTGTAAAAAATCAATAAAATATATATTTAAAAAGCAGCACATCCAGGTGCAGCACTTTCAGTGCCTCCGTACTTCTTACCAGTTGGTCTCAGTGAGCTTTCTTCACCTCTCTAGTTGTGGAATTTCTACTCAGCCAGCTTTCCCGCGGTTCTGGGTGGTAGTTTTTCTGTCGTTTATTTATGGTTTTGATGTGGTTGTGAGAGGTAGCAAGTATAGGTGATTACCTATGCCACCATTTTGGTTTCTGCCAAGTCACCTGTTTTTTGACATAATAATTTCTTTAGGCTAAATGTCAAGGAGGCCCTAGCTGGTTTGGCTCAGTGGATAGAGCGTCTGCTTGCTAACTGAAAGGTTTCAGGTTCCATTCTGGTCAAGGACACATGCCCAGGTTGTGCACTCTATCCCCAGTGGGGGACTTGCAAGAGGCAGCTGATCCATGATTCTCTCTCTCCCCCTCTTCCTTCTTCTCTGAAATCAATAAAAATATATTTAAAAAATATAATAAAATAAATGTCAAGGAGTAAAATTGCCAGATCAAAGAGTATAAAGAATTTTGAAGTAGGTAATATGTATTTCTAGATTATCTTCCAGAAAGATGGTGCCGGTTCATACTCACCAACAATGTATGCATATGCCCACCCCTTACCTGCTGGGTGTGGTTTCTCTAATGACTCTCAAATAATACTCTAGTAGAGAAAGATAATCTTTGGTGTGCTAATTGTTTTCCTTTCTCAATCTCGTCCTTTTCCTACCAATCAATATTACAGGTAACCTGTTCCCTGATTTTGTCTACTATAGAACTGCATGTATACTTAACCCACTCTGTGTTCCAAAATTATCTCTTTTTTAAAAATGTTTTTATAGATTTCAGAGAAGAAGGGAGAGGGAGAGAAAGATACAAACATCAATGATGAGAGAGAATCACTGATTGCCTGCCTACTGCATGCCCCACACTGGGATTGAGCTAGCAATTCTCACTGGAAATTGAATCATGACCTCTGGTTCATAGGTCAACACTCAACCACTGAGCCACGCTGGCAGACTCCAAAATTATCTTTTTTCTTTTCCTCACTCCCCAACATTAACCAAAATTCTTATTTCCTAAGTGTTTGTTCTCAGCTTACTGACAAATGAATTCATACTAAAATATTTATTATTGATAACTTAATGTTTGGGAGTGATATATGCTATTTTAAAAGAGGATTCATTTTTTTTTTAAATATATTTTATTGATTTTGTACAGAGAGGAAGGGAGAGAGATAGAGAGCTAGAAACATTGATGAGAGAGAGTCATCGATCAGCTGCCTCTTGCACACCCCTCACTGGGGATATGCCCGCAACCAAGGTACATGCCCTTGACCGGAATCGAACCCGGGTCCCTTCGGTCCCCAAGCCGACGCTCTATTCATTGAGCCAAACCAGTCTCGGCTAAAAGAGGATTCATGTTAATAGAGAGGTATAAATTGCTGGTATATAATACCAATGGTGGTATTTTAGGCAGTTAGAACTATTTTACCGAACCCTAGCAGGTTTGGCTCAGTGAATAGAGTGTTGGCCTGCAGACTGAAGGGTCCTGTGTTCAATTCCAGTCAGGGTCACATGTCCGGTTTGTGGGCTCAATCCCCAGTTGGGGGCGTGTAGGAGACAGCCAATCAATGATTCTCTCTCATTATTAATGTTTCTACCTCTCTTTCCCTTTCCCTTCCTCTCTGAAATCAATAAAAAAATATATATTTTTTAAAAGATATTTTACCCAGATTCTGTTGTCATCCCACATAGACTACTACTATTTGCTTTGTGTACAACATCAGCCCTGCTCTCTCCAGTGTTCCATAAGCATCTGTGATAAGTGAGTTTACTATCATCTATCTATTTTCTGCATTTGTATAACCTGTCAATTACCTTTTCTATTTGGGTTTTCTTCCCTCCATAGTTGTCATTATGATTTTAAAATTTAACTGTTATATTTAATTGCATGGATAACACTTTCAATATCTACCAACAGGTATACAATAAAAAGATTCTTATCTATTCTTTTTCTCTACTTCCCCTCCCAGAGGCAGCCAGCATTTCAATAATCTTTAGTATTCTTCTAGATATTTGGGATATATAACTAAATATATTGTCATTGTGATTTATTTTCCATGAGGAGATAGCATTATGGAGTCTAATTAGTTATGTTTGAGCCTTACAGACTTCTCGTGGAGTTTACTACAGTTTATGCAGCTTTAGGAACTGGAAATATGATCATATAGGCCCATTTCTATAATTGTGATAGGCTACCTGCTTTTTCTGAGAGAATGCAGATCTAGACTACCTTGAATTCCTTCTAAGTCAGGGTTTTTTCCCTGTAGGAATCAAATGTAAACAATGAGAATTCTCATACTAAGAGCCCCAAGCCTGCAGAGAGCCTCCAGCCAACTACTAAGCAATTTGATCAGCCCATTGCTGCCTATGAGTATTACGATGCTGGCAATCACTGGTGCAAGGACTGCAACACCATCTGTGGGACCATGTTTGACTTCTTCACCCATATGCACAATAAGAAGCATGCACAGGTAGGTGCTCTGCCCTCTGTTATTTCTGCTCTCACCCATCTTCCCCTCAAACTTCTATACCCCCATCTGCATTACAAAGCTGGCAAATGAAACATTCTCATATGGGCAGGAGCCCCAATATGAAGAGCCAAGAGATACCAGCAAAGGAGACACCATCCCCAGAGCTCAGTCTAGGGGACCTGCCTGTAACTAAACATCATGACAAGTGTAAGTGAGGCTTCAGCCTCTTTTGATTCCTTGAGTACCTGATTATTTCATTTTATCCATTGCTGGTACTTGCTCTAACATTTGTTTACCTTTTCCACAGGTGATTTCCATTTAAACAGTTGGCAGAGCGGGTGGGGGTGGGTATCTGGGGGCTTCTGGTCCCCCCTAGTGTGTGGGGAGAAAGAAAAAGAAAAGCGGGTCATTGAGTTTTTAGTGCTGTTGTATGAGCACCTCTGCCTCTTGCAAATAGACATTGGATCCCTACAACAGACCTTGGGCTTCAAAGACCCAGAGTGAGGCCAAGCAAGATGCTGTAAAGCGCACTGACAAGATAACTGTTCCTGCAAAAGGTATGTTTCCTCCCTACCATTTTTGTGATTTTCTTATATTCAGCCAAGGAGGTGTCCCTGAACTAAAGTGTTAGCAGCATAGGGTGAGACAAATATAATACTTAGTGCTAGTTGGATTTTGAGGAGAATTGGCTTTAGAATTTAGTCTGGCACAGGAAATTCCTAAATATACCAGTTAATGTTCTCAAGAGGTAGAAGGCATAGATCCTGAATTAAAGCTTTAAGTTGGAAAGACTGTGCAATTGAAATTCATCTAAATACTGCTACTTATACAAGTGGGTAAGGTCCTCTGTATATTAACATTTTACTGTAAAGGGAAAGTGGGATTTCTTTTGGTTGTTGTCATCCTGGGTGGAAATAACTTAGTTTCTTGATTTTCTTCCACTTCCTTTAGGTTCTGAGTTTCTGATTCCCATCACTGGATATTACTGCCAGCTCTGTGAGGAATTTTTGGGGGATTCAATTTCTGGAGAGCAACATGTGAAGGGTCATCAACACAATGAGAAATATAAGGTTGGTTTTTGTATTTGCCTATGCAGTCTCCCACTTTCTGCAGTAATCCTTTTGCCTTTGTCAAACAAGTTGAGAGTCATAAAAAATAATTAACACTTCAAATTCCATATGATCACTAGGAAATTTTCAATTCTAATGAGAGATGCTGACCTGATATAGATGATATCCTTGAGGAAGATGACGTTTAGGGATTACTGTGGTCAAGATTGTCTCTCTTATAGTATTTTGACCAGTTGTTGAGCCTTTATCTTTTCTCTTCCCAGAAATATGTGGTTGAAAACCCATTGTATGAGGAGCGGCGGAATCTGGACCACCAGGCTGGCTTGGCTGTGGTCCTAGAGACAGAACGCCGGCGTCAGAGTGAGCTGAAGCGCAAACTTACTGAGAAACCAAAGGAAGAGAAAAAAGAAAAAAAGGCAAAGATCCTAAAAGATGTAAAGGAAGATGATAAGGTCTTTGAGGAATTAGAAGACCAACTCTCGGAAGACAGTAACTCCCCTGAAAAGGCTGAAAACAAGAGGAAAGGCAGCATTAAACTACAATTAAAAGAAGAAGTAAAGAAAGAATCACTAGCATCTTCCTCTTTTGGGAAATTCAGCTGGAAGAAGCCAGAAAAAGAGGAGGAAAAAAGTTCAGTGGCCCAAAGTATACCCAAGGAAGAGACCATGGAAAGCAGTAAGGACAAAGAGGATGGCAAAACTGAAGCTGGAAAGGCAAAGCCCATCAAAATCAAGCTCTCTGGGAAAACTGTTGTTGCACATACTAGCCCCTGGATGCCTGTTGTGACAACCTCAACTCAGACTAAGATCCGACCCAACCTGCCTATTCCATCCACAGTGCTCCGTAAGTCAGGGTTAGCCACAGTCAGCAAGCCAGCTCCTCTTAACACCTTTCTATCCATCAAGTCCTCTGGAACCACTGCTAAACCTCTGCCAGTGGTTAAAGAATCTTCTTCTGATCTCCTCTTGCCTCCTGATATCATCTCCAAAGCATTTGGAGGGGAAGAAGTGATTCTAAAAGGGTCTCCAGAGGAAAAGATGATGCTGGCTGAAAAGAAGGAGCCATCCCATATACCTGAACAAATGCTTCCACCTCCTCCACCACCCCCTCCACCCCCACCCCCACCCCCACCACCCCCAGTGATACCTCATCCAGCTGCAGCTGCTCCTCAAACGAAGTCTGTTTTGGCTCCAGTAAAATCAAACCCAACTGTATCTCACACTCTCAGCCCTGGCTTCCTGGGTCCTAACATTTTGAATCCAGTGTTGCCGGCAGCCATCATAGCCTCAGGACAGCCAACTGCCATTCCTCCTGATGAGATAGCTCCTGGGGTGAGTGAGAGTGACCAGGACCAGACCCTATTCTCTGTGTTAGTGCGTCCACCACCTCCCCTTTCAAGTGTGTTCAGTGAACAAGCCAAAAAATTGGAAAAGCGAAATTCATGCTTAGCCACAGCCAATGCTAAGGACCTGTATGACATATTCTACAGTAGTGGTGGAAAGGGGGGCCCTGAGACTAAGCTGAGTGGTGGTCCATTGGCCAATGGGGAAAATAACAACTTTTCTAGAGCTGAAAGTTCAGACACCTTTTCCACTTCTACTTTGAACAGCAGTGCATCCCAAGAGGAGTTGCCTCGAGATAGAAGTTTGGTTTCTGCTCCTTCATTTGAAAACCCTAAAAAACCCATTGCAAAAACTCTGGTGTCCCTAGGGAAATGGTCGGTTGTAGACTCAAAAAGCAGAGGCAGCAGCTATGGCTTCCTACAGCCTCTGACAAGGTTGTGTCAAAGCAAGCCTTATGAAACTGTTACCCCAAAGACAGACACTTTGGCTTTGTGGACTTCTAGCTCCTTCCAGGATGGCACTAATAGGGATATATCTCCAGAAGTAAAAACGGAAGTTGACCTGGGAGAGCCAGGGCCACCAGGTGTAGAGCCAGCCCCTCAGCTGTCAGATAAACACTGTAAAACCGTGGAATCTCAGAAATTGGTAGAAACCCATCTTATGAAATCTGGTAACATGGATGAGGAAAGCCAAGAGCTTCACCAATCTAAGGATTGTGAAGAAAGTAAGATAGAGGAAAACACTGATCTAAAAAAGGGGGGAGCAAAGCTCTCTGAGAGGATGGTAGAAAAAGGAATAGGCATCAGTGTTGGCCCCAATAATACAGAGGGTTCTAATTTGAATCATAGGAACAGATACATGTGGGAGGAAAAAGTAGTACAGCCCAAATTGCAAATGACTGACAAAAAGATGGAACACTCCAAGAAATTGATTATAGGAAGTGAAACTCAAAGTAAAGTAATGATTGAATTGAGTGCACAGACTCTTTCTTCCACAAAGGCAAAAATAGACTCATTTCCACTGAAAACTAGGTCTTTACTCCAGAACCCACAAGACACAACTGTGAAAATTTCTATTCCAGAATTGTTGCTTCGGTCCCCAGCTGGATCAGATACATATATAACAGATTGTACACAGGTGCAAGGAGTTTCAACTGGTAGTGAGTGCCTAGAAAATTCAACTCCAGAATCAACTTCTAGAGCTTCAAGGTACAGAAGTCTCAAATTCATGAGAGAAAGATCGAAAGATTTTCAGGGTAAATTGATCTGTGAACTGGCTGGTTGGGGTGAGAACAAGGAGCCAGAGATGGGGGAAAGCTTGGAGAAACCAGAAGCAGACGCCCTGGAGCTACGAGATATCCGCCCAGAGTTACCAGTGACAATAGAAAGCAAGGCCTTAGAAGACTTAGAAGTTACAGACTTGAAAGTAGAAAAGCTTGCTGCCCTCGGGAACCTGGGGGATATGGGTATTGATTTCTGCAATACTCAAGTAGATCCAGCACATAAATCCCCAACTGCCCTGACTCAGAAATTGTATGAAGAAAATTCTTTGTCAGCTATAGGATGTAATGCCCCACCTCTCACTGACTTTGAACCAATCCCATCCTTTTCTGAGTTTCCATTAGATTCTCCCAAAACCCCGGTGCTTAACTTTGAAGCAGAGGGTGAACAAACCTCATCTAATCCCAGAAATGGGAGGATCACTCCTAACATTTTGAAAACTGGACATCCCATAGAAAATGTTGACCTTGGCTTGGGGAGTCTAGAGGGAACACATCAGGCCCTTGACCTGCTAGCAGGAGGAATGATGCCTGAGGAAGTAGAAGGAACTTCTCAATTAGAGAAACAAGATTCACTCTGTTTGGACTCAGAAACAATAAACCCCGCAGGCCTTGGGCCATCTCCTTGCCTTCCAGACCTTGTTGACTTTGTCCCTCGGACATCTGGAATTCAGAAAGAGAAGTTATGTTCTCATCTCTCTATACCAGGTGACCCTTCGGAGTATAGTTCCTTAGAGATGGGACCACTACAGCCAGAAATAGTGAATGCATCCATCACAAGGGTAGCAGTTCCTCAAGTAGATGAAGATAATGAAAACCCTTTGAATTTGGTAAAATCTTTGACTTCCGGGTCCTCCATAAGGGAGCAGGTAGTTGGAGGCAATATTGTCACTCAGGAAATACTTGCACGAGAAGCTGCAGTTGATGCCATCCAGGACCACACAGAATCCAGTGTTCACAACTAGTGCATATCCAGAGCTACTTGTGGATGAATCAAATTGACTTTTAGAAATCCAGTGCCCAAATGATCCAGGATTATTTGGCTATCTCCTCTGGAACCTACACCATGAGATGCAGTCAGCATCTAAATATCCATGGAAGAAAAAATATTTACCTCCTTTCCTTTTTTTATTTTTTCTCCTTATGATATCAGACAAATCAATCATAATATTTCTGTACACATCTGTAAAAAATATTTTCTGTTAAATTTTTTTTGCCAATTTATTTTCTTCTCCTTTGCCATTAAAATCAAATGTCTCTCTGGCTTACCACATAGTGTGCTTTGATTGTATTTTTGCCTTTGACTCTGCCATTTCTGAAATGTGGGGGAGGAGGAAGAGCTGACTTCTCCAATTGCTGTGTTGTATCCCCACCCAGTTTTCTGGGCAGCTTGGTGGGTCCCTGGGAGAAACACAAGAAAGCCTACAGAAATGGAAAACTGATGAAGGAAGGATTGTTCCTCTGTTAGGCTTCCATTTGGATGGGCCTGCCTTAAGTTTGTTCACTGTTTACTTCCTTGTGACATGTCAACCCCCATACTCTCCTCATTCTGTTGCTTTTGCTTGAAATGGTCCTACTAACTCGCAAACCTGTTTGGAAATGGCTTCAGTAAACATGGAAGAAAAACTAGCAGGGTCACTTTCAGAAGACGACAAATTGGTAAGGCTTATTCATAGCTCAGTGCCAGAAGCAGATATGCTTTTGGAGTCACTTTTATTTTCAAAATGGCCTTTGTTTATTATTTTTGTGATACAGTAGTACTTTGTGTTAAATTGCATAGCAGTCATTTCTGTTCTGAAGAGGCAGAAGATCTGAAACTTGTTCTGGGATTGGATTTATTCTCTGTTCCACAACCCATATGTATTCCTTTCTCTACCTCTCCCAAGTTATTTTCACCATAGTGTGATGTTTTGGGTTGTACATTTTGTTCAAAAGATTAAAGAATTTATGAGTTGGCTTGGACAAGTTTAACTTTATTTTTAATGTGTTAATTTCTTGGAATAAATGTATTAATCTCATGTTTCTTTCTGGATTTTTGTTTTGAAACCACATACATTTGACCTTCACAGGAAAAGTAAAGCAGTGAATCCCCACTGTTCTATTATCTATACTCCCAATTGTGTGTGTGTGTGTGTGTGTGTGTGTGTGTGTGTGTTTTGGGGGGGAATGTTTTCTTTATGCAAATTATTAGATTATAATCTGTGCTCCAGTGCTGCCTAGATGGGTAGTAAATAGTGGATCGTGGTCTAGTTTTGGCATCTGTCTGTTGTTAAGCTTTTTATATAACTTTGTGTTGACTCTCCCTATGCTCCTCTGGGAACTGAGCTTCCCCAAGAACATGAGTGCTCTTGGGAATCGGGGAGCTTGGTCCTCAGGTATTCTAACATCTGTTGTCAGCAATCTATAAACTGTCTCAACAGAGGCTTCAGAGGCTTTTTCTCTCCCATCCTCCCACCCCCCAACTCTCAAAAATAATGCAAAGTTGCCAATCTGTTTTTTTAAGAATTCTTTTGTCCCTGTTTCCTTGTGTGCAGGGCTGTAGAATCCCTACTTTGAGTTTGGAAGACTATTTGCTTTTTCTAGAGCCTTCACTATTATTTTTTTAGAAGTTGTCTTGGCCTCTCTTCATCATGCTGTGGAAAGGGCACAGATTTTAGGTTCTTTAATGTTCCTCAGCCAGTTGCCTTACTGTGATTTGGAACATGTTACTTCACCTACGATGCCACAGGGATCCACCCGCCCTTCTTTAAGATGAAGATTATCTCCATCTCAGCACCAAATGTGTATAGGTCAGGCCTCCTGAGTAGTTGTTTAGGGCTGCTTTTTTAGGCTGACGCCTGCATTCAGTGCTCTTTTCTAGCCTGGAATCTAGACTGATTCAGAAGGCTAGCTATGCACAGCTAGCTTCAGAGAAAATAAAAGTTTAAAATGCCAGTTGTTACTGATTTTCAGGACCGTTCCCTTAGTAAGTTCCACCTCCTTTTGGGGAAAGGTGGGCAAGTTTAGAGAGTGACATGGGGTTAATCCTATCCAGAACACACTCTTAACCTCTCTCCATCTCAGAGGGAGTCAGAATCTTTTTCCAGGTCAGGAGAGGGCTACTTGAGAAGGGAAGGGAAGAAAAGCAAAGTTTAGGAAGAGCAGAACTAATTCAAGTAGCTGGGACTGGAGTACTTTGAGCAACTTCTCGTGTACTTTCTTGATAACTTGAAGCTTTATGCTAAAGGCATCTGCCATCCTCAAAGGTTTTCTAGAATAATGCTCCTTATAACAGCTGAAGCAACAGTATTCTTCATATCTGCCTTGAAACCAGCAGAGGGAGAGCTTTTAGGATTCTGTGGTCTGGGCAGGCTTCCTCTAGTCAGTGGGATCTAGCTTTGAAGCCCATCCAGAGAAGCCATGTGAAAGAAAGGGCAGAACTCCTAACCCAGTCGCTAGCTCCTAGAGCACATGTGTCAAACACAAGGCCCGCGGGCCAAATCCGTCCCACCAGGCCTTGCAATGTGGCCCGCACCGCGCTGTCATCACTGCACTCCGCTGCGTTTCCATCACAATGACAGTTTATGACTGTTCAGTAAACCATTCGGCCCGCGATTTAGGCTGGATTTTAGATTTTGGCCCCTTCTCTGATTGAGTTCGACACCCCTATCTAGAGTTTCAGTACCATCATGGTACTGAATACATTTTTACCTTGGGAGACAAAGGCATAAGCAGGGAGTGGCCCTAATCTTTACATGTGGCTTATGGAATATAACTTTTAAATTTCAGAAAACATCAGGAGCATTTTTATTGTGAGAACCATTGATGAGCAGTTAGGTTTAAATATGGGCAAACACTTAATTTTCACCTAAGTTGTATAAATAACTCCCTAAAATTTTCCCTTGGTTCTGTAAATGGAGACCTCTTGCTTTATAAGCCATCTTTCTCCTATTCACAGCTAGCTTCAGGGCACATAATACTCTTAATAACCTTTCTATTAAGTATTCCCACTTTACCTCATGCTACTCCATCTCTTTAAAAAAGTCTAAAAAGTAAGATTAGCTAATGTTTTGGTAGCAAAGCATGACAGAACATATGCCCATTTACCAGACTACCAGGTTCAGGGACTGAGGAAGAATGGGGAGAGGTATGTGTGTATTTAGGGTTGGAGTTACAGTATCCAGGCATCCAATGGGGATGTTAAGTATATATTTTTAAAGGGTAGAGGTGAATTCAGAGAGGAGATGACATATAAAGGAAGTGAGGTGGGGTTTTAAAAATACATTTCTAAAACTTGGTTCTCACTTCAACAAAACTACCAAAACCAGGATGAGAATCTAATGAGCAAGATTTTCATTTATTAGCAATTTGGGGAGAAAATGGATGAATGAAAATTGTTTGGGCTGTGAGCACATTTCTTTTGTGTGCAGTTTAATTTTGCAATAATCATGTAATTTTAAATAAAAATAATGTATACAGTAACAATATTCATTGATAAGCCAAGCAGTTGAACTTTCAATGAAAGTCTTTTGTCCTTAAAAAGCAAATCACCACCCTTGCTGGGTAGCTCAGTTGGTCAGAGTGTTGTCCTGATTTCACTCCCCAGTGAGGACATACAAGACTCAACCAGTGGGTGCATAAATAGGTAGAGCAACGAATTGATGTTTCTCACTGCCTTCCTCTCAAATCAACCAGTACGTTAAAATAAATAAATAATAAATAAATAAATAAATAAAAATAACCACCATCCTGATTTGCTCTCAACCCTTAAACATTTTCAGAAGACCATGTACATTATCACTGTGGCACGTAATGTGGTTGTAATTTGACATTTATGTTTCTTTGATTCACATTGCCTCCCTTCCCCACAACTAGATTACAAACTCTCCAAAGCAGTCTGTCATTGCTTACTGTTTTTTTGTTTGTTTGTTTTTTACCATTGTATTTACAGTGCATAGTTGCCTGGCACAAAAGAGTGTTCAATAAAAGTTCATTTAAAAAGTCAGTGTGGGGCCCTGGCCGGTGTTACTTGGTGATTAGAGCCTTGTCTTGTGTACCTGGGTTGTGGGCCTGATCCCCGGTTGGGGCGCATACGTGAGGCAACCAATTGATGTTTCTTTCCCTTATCTGTTCTCTCCCTCTTCCTTTCTCTTCCTCTCTGGCATCAATGAAAACAAAACAAAACAAAACAAAAAACAGTCTTCGGGTGATGATTTAAAAAAAATAGTAGCAATGTGGTAATACCGTGCTTCCCCGAAAATAAGACATCCTCCGAAAATAAGACCTAGCACATGGAAAGATAAGACATCCCCTGAAAATAAGACCTAGCGCAACTTTGGGAGAAAAAATATAAGACACTGTCTTATTTTGGGGGAAACAGGGTAGTAACTTTTTTATTAACTGATTGTTATTATTTAGCAATTTATAAGTGGGTAAAAGCTATACATTGATTGTATTTGTTGGATGCTTAGTACTCCACAAGCCAGCTATCCTCTTGGTCCTGCATCTTCGTATACAAAGCACTGTCTATTACAATGAGTGCATGTCAAGGCTACCAGTGACTCCTTCATTTCAGTAGCATTCTGGAATAGTGGTACCAGGCCAGAAGGGGGACACACTGGCCCTGAAACTCCTAGAAGAAAATTTTTCGCTGGGAAATGGGGGTAAACTGACCTTAGAGTTAACAATAAAAGGCTTTGGGAACTCTGATTTCAGATGATTTTATAGGCATGTAACTTCAACTAACTTTAAGTTGGTTAAACTCCAAATCTCTGATTTGGCTGAAGGAGTAATTCAACCCTTCATGGGTCAACATCATCTTGTCACCTCATCAAAACTACATCAAGCTGCCAATTTTATTCTGGAAGGAAACAAACATTAACCAAAGAAGGTTGCCTTGGGAAGAGGGAAGAGAGAAGAGGGATGCTTTCACTTTTTATTTTGGTATCTTTTTTTGTTTCAAACATTCTGACCATGAAATGCATTTATATAAAATACAAATATGCTATACACAAAACATGTATACACACATATAAAATATATAATATTTTTGTCAGTAAGTGTTTTTTTGGTGCTGTGAAATTATAATCCAGGTTTTTCCCCCTTCTATATACTTTTATGTATTAAAATTTTGTTTTTTTAAGTTGTGTGTCTCAGTGCATTCCTGTCTTCACTCCTCTTGTCAGTTTTCCATCACTATAAACAGGTCTTTCTTCTTTTCCCTCAAGGCTCCCTAGATTCCTCTACTCCCATCAAGGCTGGGCAAAACACACTCTAAGAATCTCCATTCTTAATGAAAACCATTTTTTTTCCTTCTTCCTCTCTTCTGTTCCCTTTCTCTTGCTCTGACGTCTGTTGAGCTGGTTATGTATTTCCTTTCATGCTGTATAAGTACTTGGGTTTATGTTACATAAATTAAGATTCTATTTTCACAAAGCTTACTTTAATAAAGTAACACTATGTATCACAAAGTCTTTGTTGCATGCAAAAAGACAAGGTAACTCATATCCATATGTATTGATTGAAAGCTTTACTGGCTTTTCCTTTTGTTGAGTATCAGGCAAGAAAGGAGTTTTGTAGAAAATAAGGGAAATGAGCATGCTTAATGGAGGTGAATGAGCAAGGTAAAAATGGAATCAGTTAAATAATGGTAGAGGATGTAGAGTAAGATAGCAAAGAGATAAAATCAACCATATTAAGGTATTATTTTTCTTTTATCTCTCTTCAACTTCACCATGCTAAAGTTCTGACCAGACCTCCTATAGCATACCTACATAAGGATAAATTATGACATTTACTGACTCTTCACCTACCTATCCTCCTTTCTTTACAGGAGTAATTGCAGAAGTCTTCAGATTTCCAGAAGGAAGGACTGCAGGCAACATCTACACCAGCGATAGAAGCCACAGGTACCACAGAAATGATGAGAGTCCTTGAGCAGTCACCTCTAGGGTCTGACTTCCAGAAGGTGGGTATGGCTGCTGGGGCAGGAGTGGGTTGTGGAGGAGGTCCTATCATTTTAGCTACCAGTAAATGATGA